TGGCGTGACCCTTACTCTAGGGCCTAATTCCCAGCCCCTGAGGCAGTGCCCAGGAATTCCAGCCCCTTTCCCAAGAAGAAGTCTTTCTCAATATAGAGAGGAGTCAGTGACAAAGGGAAACAGCTGTGGCCCCTAGCCACACAAGGGCTTCTGGGGAGCAGAACTCTTTGAGGGTGGCGTGGCCATCAGGAAGGTAGATTCCCTAAAGGTTGCAAATGATTAAGGGACTGAGCTGCTACCTGAAAGTTTGAGGTTCAGGTCAATCTAGAGGCACCTCGAAAGAAAGCCTTTGGGATCTACTGCTCCAAAATTTGTTTTTGAAAACCTTACGGAATCTAGTCCTACCAGACATATATGGGGTTGCCATGAATCAGAGTTGGCTTGATGGCAACTGAGTATCAGGAAGGGTGTGTTGGAAAAAATGTACATGCGATATGATCAGGCCCAACAGCAAGGGAAGCCTTGAGGTGATGCTGTTTCTCTGGGGGCTTTTCAGACCAGTTGTGGTGGGAGATGAGGATCCTCTCTCTCCCTTCAGGATGAGGTGCTACTGATCCAGGAGGCCAAGCGAGAGTGTCGTGGGTCCTGGTACCTGCCTGCGGGGAGGATGGAGCCAGGGGAAACCATCGTGGAGGCGCTGCAGCGTGAGGTGAAGGAGGAGGCTGGGCTGCAGTGTGAGCCTCTGACGCTGCTGTCTGTGGAGGAACGCGGCCCCTCTTGGGTCCGATTTGTGTTCCTGGCTCGTCCCACAGGTATGTCCCGCCTGGTGTCATGCAAGTGGGGAGCAACTGACACTTTGCCCTCCAGCTTATCTTCAGGTGAGAGGAGCCTCTCCATAGCCAGCCCTGTTCTGGCTGTTAAAATCCTAATATTGCCACATTCCAGCCTGAGAACTCCTGGCCCTCCTCCCTGAATCTGGTCTCAAGTGCCTGGGTGTTTGTTTCATTCTGCCAATCTTGGCACTTCTGTTTTTGTCCATCCTGTCTCCTAAATCCCCTTAGGTGGAATTCTCAAGACTTCCGAGGATGCAGATGCAGAATCCTTGCAGGCTGGCTGGTATCCCCGAGCCTCCCTCCCCACTCCATTGCGAGCCCAGGACATTTTGCACCTGGTTGAGCTAGCCGCCCACTATTGCCAGCAAGCTAGGCATCCTCTAATTCTGCCCCAAGAGCTTCCCTGCAGTGTGGTCTGCCAGCGACTTGTGGCCACCTTTACCAGAGCCCATACAGTGTGGGTGTTAGTAGGCACTGTGGGGGTGCCTCACTTGCCCATCACTGCCTGTGGTTTCACCCCTATGGAACAGAGGGGTGGCATGAAGATGGCCATCCTGCGGCTGTTACAAGAGTGCTTGACCCTGCACCATTTGACAGTGGAGACCAAGGGCTTACTTGGACTGCAGCATCTGGGCAAAGACCATACAGATGGCATCTGCCTCAATGTGCTGGTGACGGTGGCTTTCCGGAACCCAGGCATCCAAAATGAGCCCCCGAAGATTAGAGGCGAGAACTTCTTTTGGTGGAAGGTGGTAGAGGAAGACCTTCAAAGCCAGCTCTTGCAGAGGCTTCAGGACTCATCTGTCATCCCAGTCAACAGATAGAAAGGGTTGGACAGAAGCTGGGCCTCTGTGCTCTCCTCCAGCATGGTTTCAGCTCTCCTCTGAGGGAGGCAGGAGATTGAAGATTGAGGATCTTGTTCCACTGGGAGCGGGGGCAGTTTTCATGATTCTCAGGGGATTTCTAACTCCCTGGCGGTGGAGCAGGTCCCACATCTCCCAAGAAGTACAGTGCCTTTAAGCAAGCAAAGAGTCCAGGGCTCGAGGACTCGATTCCCATGAGGGCAAACAGAAGCTACTTCTTAAGGCACTATGGGAACTGTCCAAGCCTGAGATGACAGTCGCCATTTTCTGGGCCCTCCTCCATAAAGGCTACTGTTTGAGTCCTCACACGCACTTAGAAGGTGGAGGGACATGGAGAAACAGGCTGCTTGCTGAATTAAGTGTTGCTTACCTTGCCTTGCCTCCCTGAATGTCTCAGAAAGGAGTGAGCAGGAAGGTGAGACTATCAAAGCAGAATAGCTGCTTCCTTTGTTCCCCTGCCAAGCAGATCATCCTGGCTTTCCCCAGACATGCGCTGGCACTAGAGGGGCCAGCCTGCTGGAGGGCTGGGGCAGGTGGGCTCCCTGCTTGATAGTACAGCAAGGCTGTGTGGCTGGCCCCACTCAGGTTCTCTCCATCTCACTGGTTAGGGAATGAAGTGACTATGAGGGGACTACATTCTGATTAAAATGCAACTGTACCCCTTCAAAGTTTGAATAGTGAAAATGCCAAGAGAAGCTTCAGCTGGGAGCAGTCCTAAATGCTGCTCCCGTTTCTACTCATAGTTTCTTCTTCCCCCATCACTGGCAGCCCCCAGATCCCTGCCCTTTGTCTTTTTATAGCCTTTCCCTAAACCAGGCAAAAGCCCATTCTCCGTTTTCTCTAGTTGAATCTGGCTTTTAAAAAAGACCTTTACTAAAATTTAAGGGAAAGCCAAAGGATATAAAGAAAATAAATTGTGTGATCAACAGAGTGTACAATGTTGAGGTTTCTCATTCTATGCAGGGCAACACTTGGGCTTCACCGCCTCCGAACTTCATATGAAGGACCAAGATAACCTCAAAGGCTTCTTCCTGCTTCTCTTGGCTGGAGGCCTCATATCTTTCTGACTTCTGGAGCTGTTGTAGGAATTCTCCTTGTCCTCACTGAGGGCATCTTCCCAAAAATGGAATCAAGCCTTTTGTTCCTAGTTGACTTCTTTCAGTGTCCCTTCTGAGGGATCTGCCAGGCATTATCCACTTAAAAGGGCAAGAACATCTGTTCCTGTTTTAGCCAAACTATTGAGTTTTTCAACCCTGGGTGAAAATAACTCACCTGGGTTCAGGTGATTTTTTTACAACTACTCTGGGATCCTACATCCAGAAATACTGATTTGGAAGGAGGGGTCTCAGTATTGATAGTTTAAAACCCAGGTGATTCCACACACCAGCTGGGAGCAGCTGATCAGCTCTTCAAGCTGTCAGTTTTATCCTACCCTAAAGCACTCATGGTGAACATCTCTACTACCTTGGAGGATTCCTTTCCCCTCACACACCCTAAGGACAATTTAAAACTATCCAGCCCACTGTTTAAAACAGTACAACAAACACAAAAATGAGAACTCTCATACAGACGCTAACAGATGGTTATCTCCTTGTAGTGTCTGTGTGAAGGCTATGAGGCTCTTAGCTGTAGGTGAGCTGAGCTGAAATCCTGCTGCTTGGCCAACAGTGATTCCTGGCAGGAGCTAAGGAACATCAGAATTGGCGCTGCCAGAGCCTGTCTTTGTTTACCACCCTACTGCACACCACCCCTCCCATCAGTGCTGGAAAAGGAATTTTAATTTGTCTTCCTTGGGGAAGATGTGGGGTCTGAATAGCAGTGGATCCCTAGGTAGAAGACAAAGAGAAGACAGCCACTGTGTGCACACAACCATACCTTTTATTGCTGTGTCTCCTCAGGGAAGACACCATGCAAATGCCACATCGAGAATGGTGAGCCTCTGACTCCCAGACCCTTTTCTGAATCTAAGAGTCCAGACGCAGTTCATCCACTGAGAACTATGCCCCTACCCCAAACCCACACCAACATGAGCGCATGCACACGCACACATGCGTGACGTTCTTCAGAGCAGCAGCTGAGTTCTCCCCTGCAGCAGAATGCGGGAGAGGTAGAGGTCATTGAGTTTCCTCCTCTTTCATGTCACCTCTTGGCAACCTGCACCCTGCTTCTAGAAGCCGCATGGGCAGGAAAAGGAAGCGAAAGGGGCTCTGGCCTGCTCCTCCTTGCCCAGGAGCAAAGCCAGCAACTGCAGTCCTGCTGTGAGGTAATGCCTGGCGCCGCCTGTGTGTTCCTGCAGGTCGAGACAGATTCGGGGCGGGTGGGGTGGCAGCCCCAGCTGTGGAGGGCATGCAGGGAGAACAACACCAGAGCTGACTGCCTGTGCCTCAGCCCCTCCTGGGCAGGCCTTGAGGGCCTCAAGTCTGGTGGGATGCTGGCCTCATGGGCCCTGAGCTCCCTTGTCTCTCTAGAAGAGCATTCTGTTGAGAATACTGGGGGCTTGGCAGAATTTTATGGACAAGGTCTGGCCTCTTCTGGTCTCTCAGCCTCTGTGCCCAGGTGTTGTGGACCTGCTGAGACGGGTTCAGAAGGCGCCAGAGAGAAACCAGCTAGAGCTGTAGCCTGGCACCCGGCTCCCCAGCTCCCCAGGCCCTCTCCCGCCCTGGCTGCAGTTGCATCAAGGTTCTCATTAGCAGCTGCCCCCGCCTGGGTGCGGAGCATGCTTTGGGCATTTGCCATGAGGCGGTTGGGGATTTTGCAATCGTCTCCAGGAGGGCAGAACAGACAGAGGGGGCTTTCCCTGCTCTCCCCTACACTGTCCCTTCTCCATGGGTCCAGCCAGGAGACGGGGAGGGGAGAGGCCAAGTGTCAGCAGCTCCTATGATACCTCATGTGACACGCAGGCTCCCTGTGCCCGTTTCTGGCCTATGTGCCTGAGCAGCCTCTGGACCCATCTGCTCCCTCCCTCTCTTGCCGCTGGTGTTTTGGCCCTCGATGACAGACCCGAAAACAGGAGGTCTAGGGTCCAAGTGCTCACCTGGCCATCACCCAGCTCCTCTGAGAAAGCCCGAGGACACCATGCTGCCTGGGAAGCCATCTCTCTAGCTCCTGTGGCATCTGGTGCCTCTGCAGGCCACTCCCTGAAACCCAGTCCAGTCTGGTCAAGAAGCCAGGGTCGTCTTGGTTAACCAGGGACACGAAGCCCAGACCTTGATGGAGATGAGGTCCCTGGGGTACAGAGGAGGTAAGCCCAGCCCCCACCTCCCGGCGGAGAGTGGAGGCAGGAATGCCAGACAGGAGGCAGCTCTTGGGCAGAGGTGTGGACAGGAGTCTCTCCACCCATCATCCTCCTGGCTCAGACATGCCCTTACGGGGGTGGGGAGAGGTTCAGGTGAGGACCATGTGGGGGGAACTTGACGAAAGCAATGGCAGCCAGCTCCTTGCAGAATTCCTCAAGTACTACCACACCTTGAAGGAGGGTCTGATGGTCCAGCCTGGAAGGAGACAGTAGGAGGTCAGGCTAAGAGGAGGTGGACGTGTGCACAGAATGACACCCTGGTGTTCACAAGACATAATCAGATGTGGAAGACAAAGCCCAGCCACAGGACTTCATATGCTCTCCATGTCCAGTGACCCCCACCCCCAACACCTTTCTGTAGCCACCCACTTCCCTTGGATACTTACTGTTCTCCAGGGACCTGACCCATTAGCTGCTTTCGTACCAGCAACAATTTGCCTGGGAACTGGGGTACCCTCTGAATTCTCTGCATCAAGTCTCCAATCACCTAGAGAATGAACAAAGAAAGAATGAGATGAGGAAATGAGCCACTGAGGCTTCTCAGGGTGCCAGGTGCCAGGGCCACCCTAGAAGGGCTTCCTGGCGTGGCTGTGCCATGGGGTGTCTACACGTATACCCAGGGTGTCCTCTGGCAGTACAAGGGGACCCACTCCTAACTCCCAGCGGCTTCACCTTGGATGCCTATGTGTTCTGCCTTCTGAATATCCATTCCCAGTTTTTCCTTCCCCACTCCCACCCCACTGGGCCCAGGCAGCCTTACCCGGACAAGCACAGAGAACAAGCTCCTACAGCCAGGGGCCAGGTTGATGTAGGGATCCAGGAGGTACTCATGGATATGGGGGTGGGGGAAGAGGGCAAGCCGGGACAGGACTGAGGTCACTTGCAGGTTCAGGCTGTATGGCTGTAGGGAACATGGTGGACAAGGCTGAGGGCTGGCAGGGGTGGTGAGCATTTTTGTACTCCCCCAGCAAGGCGCCTGGCCAGTGTGAACGTGTGCGGGGGTGGGAGGCTCACGTGATGTGTGTGTGTCATGGATTCCCTGGGGCTGAGGGCTAGAACATGTTAAGACGTGTGGAGCAGAGGCAAGATGGAGCTTCCTGCCTGGGGAAGGTTGGGGGGCGTGAGGTGGAGAGTGAGGGGCTGTTGTGAAGCCGAAGACCTTAAGAGGAGCTGACCCCATCAGCAGCCCCCACCTCCTGAAGTACTTCAGACATCAGGAGCCTGGACTTCTCCCCTGTGCCCCTGCCTAGTTGCTGGGCCTGTTGACTACCTGATCCAAAATCCGTGACATCCGGTCAAAGAGCACTTGGAGGAAGCGACCCTCAAAGAAAGGCCTTTCTGGCTCATGGGGATCCAGGGGTGTGAGGCCCAGAGGCCAGCCCCAGGGGGCAACTCGGGAGCTGCACTCCTGGAACTGAAACAGGAGAGGAGGACAGTTGAGGAACTGTGCCCAGTGGCCAGCAGACTGCGGAATACTACCCAGGAAGAGCAGGCTCGGGGATTCTGGCCAGAGTGGGGAGCAGCTGGAGCAGAATACAGTGATCAAGGACGGGAGGACAAAGTTTATCAAACCAGCAGTGCTGAGGATGATGGGCAGGTACCGGCAGAGGCCGAGGCACTCACCAGTCCATATGCATCATGGACGTACGTGTCGTAGCCAGTCTCCTCCAGGAAAGCTGATGTCTTGGCTTCCTCGGGAACTAGACAGAGGAAACTGAGAGACATGTTCTAGGTGTGGGGGTGCTCCACCTGAGCTTGCCCTGCCATCTCTGGCTGGGGATGTGGGATCTCAAGCTTTAAGGAAACATGCCTTCTCTGGTTGGACCCGTTAGGGTTATGGTCAGAGAATAAACTCTGAGCTGCTCAGATTTCCTGACCTACTCCCCACCTGTTGACAATCTCCGTTACTGCTGTTTTGCCATCTGAGTTGGTAGAAGGACCTGGTGGAGGCTTTGAGGAGGGCTGAAAGCCAGATTCGAAGCCGTCAGTGAAGTAGGGGTCTTCCTCCAGATCCCTGTGGCCAGAGCAGACATAGCATGACACCCAGCACCCGCGGGTGAATGCGTGTGGGCACACTGAGGGCTGGGGTGGATGCTGAGCAGCCCAAAGGTGGGTGCATCCACTTACAGGGTGTCTTCATAGTTCTCAGGCTCTGACAAGCCCCGGGCCACGTAGAATCGGCCCTCGAGGCTGCGCAGGATCAGGCTGTGGATGATCCACTCATGTGGCTTTTGGAGCAGCTCCTCAAACAATCTCAGCGTGGCGATGCTGATCTGGAGCCAGAAAGGGGTTAGCAGAATGGCCCCTCCCCAACTCGGGACACTGAGGCATCTACCCTAGCTTCAAAGGTGCTTTGGAATTGCTCATTCATGCAAATAAGAAAAATCTTTTAAGGCAGTAGCTTCTTTGGCTGAGGACCAAGGCAGCAGGTTTTAGGGGGAGTAGATGAGTGTTGGCCTAGGAACTAGAAAGTCCGAGTGGCTACTCAATTTGGTGTGTGATACTGGGCAAACCAATTAGCTTTTCTTGTGCTTCAGCTTTCATGTCTGTAAAATGGGAATATTGGCCTCACCTACCACACAGAGGGGTTACCAGCCTCAAACAAGCCAAGTGAACATAAATGTGGCTTGCAAAACAAAGTATTATAAAAAGTATGCTATTACAGGAAATTTCTGTATAACATATGTAGCTTAGCTGTCAAATACAACTTTACTGGTTTGGGGACTTCAGTGCATCAAAGACAGAACAAATTACCTGGAAAAGCTACTGAAATCGGGAAGACATGCTCTGCTCAGGAAAGCCCTTTGGCAGGGGTGAGGGGAAGTAAGGGCCCTGCTCACCTTACCTCATCAGAGAGATGGTTGCAGTGCTCAATAAGGTGAGCACACAGAGTGCAGGGGCTGTCCTCAGGGGCTTCGGGCCGCCGCTCTGTACCCAGGAGAAAATTTACTGCCTCCTGCAGCAGGGCCGGGGAGCGAAGCTGGCGCAGCATGGCTGTCAGCAGGGCTGTGGCGGTCAGGACCCTCTGCTCACACCTATGGTGAGAACACCTTAGCCAGGACTTAAGTGTGCAGAGCCAGATGGGCGATCAGAGAAGGAACAAGGGCTGAGTGAGCATGAGGAGTTGTAAAACTGTGTTCTTGGCTAATCATCTTTGGCTAATGTCTCTCTGCTCATATCCCAGTTTCTAGGGAGGTTCTGTAGGAGGCTTTGGTGGCTTAGTGGTAAGGAGCTGCACTGCCAACCCAGAGGTACATGGTTTGAATACTCCAGCTGCTCCTCAGGAGAATGATGTGCAAACTCCTCTCGTTGCCTCTAGAAACCTGCTGGAGGATCAGCTATGCGTTGGTTCCAACTTGACAGTACACAAAAACAACAGCAATGAGGTTCTGTAGTCTGAGAGCGGGAAGTCTTTGTTTAACCTACGTGGCTCAGAGCTACATGGCTGTAAAGGGAGCTGTATGGCTAATATTAATTAAGGAGTCCACAGATGTTAATCTGGACCTAGTCCTGGCATTAGGGAAAGACAGTGGCTTGGTGGGGTTGGCGACCATGTCCATGCCCAAGGGAAGTGGACACATACTTACACATGCAAGAGCTGGGGCTGCAGAATTTCCACAAATAACTTCTCAGCCACAGTCTTTGCCAAGGAGTCTGCAACAACCTGGGCACCAACGAGCATGTCAAATATGTTTCAAAGTTCTTGACCATTACCTGCCGAGAACTAACTACAGTGCCCTACAAGGTCCCTGGCTGTGCAGATGGTTAAAACACTCAAGCACTAGAGGAAAGGCTGGTGGCTTAAACCCACCAAGACATGCCTTGGGATGCAGGCAGGCCTGATGATCTGAATCCAAAAGACCTACAGAGCGATTCTTCTCCATATATGTGGGGTCCCCATGAGTCAGGATCAACAACTAACACCACAGGGCACACAGGCTCCCGACAGATCCCACATCTCAGGCATCTCTGAGATGTTGTTAGTGGACTATGACTAGAGACAATGAAACTGGGGAGCGCCTACTGCCCCAAGACATGTGCACTGCCAGTTCTCACCGAGTGTGCCTCCATGACGAGGTGGTCACAGTAGTCAAACCAGCCCAAGAAGGCAGCCAAGGCGTCTTTGCCAGGAAATGAAGCCTCATCAGACGGGGCACTGGGTAACCTTTAGTGAAAAGGAGGTGTGGGGGGAAAGCTGGAGAGGGAAAAGTCTTCCTCAAATCAGCTGAGCCCTTTGCCCTACTGCTGGGAGTCGGTTTGAGTAGGGGCTTTAGGGTCAGGGACAACAAAAGGGATGCCTCTCTTGTGGGTGAGAAGGCACTTGGGGATCAGCCACAGCAGTGGGAAGAGAGAAGGTGGCCAGCAGAGGTCCTCATCCCACTTGGTATACAAGAGGAACCATCTTCCAGGAAGACAGCCAGCACTTTTTCCCATTGAAGATATCTACCAGCCTTCCCTGGCCAAGACCTACCTCCAACTGATGCCTTCTAAAGAAGCAATGTCCGCAGGGTCAAGGAAGGTGGGCAAGGACTGGTAGAGCTGGCAAAGGTGCTGAGTGACTGCAGAACAGCAGGGGCTATTCTGTACCAGAAAGGTGGCAGCCGCCTGGGAAGCCACGCTCACCAGGAGCAGCAGATTCTCCTGGGCCTTCAGGGCGACACGGCTTTTCTAGGGGACAGGGATATGACTTCAGGGCGTGCATATGAACTTCTAAACCACCTCCCCAAAACTCACCCTACTCCTTCCCAGTCCTCCACCCACTCCTGTCTCTACAGCCAGCACCTTGCTCTTGCACAACCCAATCAGGGAGGTAACCAGGTTGCTTTCTCCAATCCCACCATCTGGCTCCTTGGTCTCAGCAGGCAGCTGGGTGTTTGAGGCCTGGGCCCCACTGCATTCCCCATCATGTTTGTAGTCTTCTTTAGACTGAGTGGTGGATTCTTTGGATGCCTTCTTCTTACCTATATTCTTTTTCCCCTAGTAAAGAATATCAGATGAGGCCAGGCCGGACCATGGTGAAGCCCATTCCCCAGGATGTGCTGGATCGGGAGAACGCAGGATGGCCTGACCAGGGCCTCAGCATGGAGTGGGGGAGGAATCACCTAAATGCCTGCCTTTTAAGAATGCTTCCTCAGAAGGGCCAAGAGGCCCTGGGGTCCTAGGCCCTCCCACTCTTGTCCCCTTACACATGCTCACTTCTAAGATGTAGGTGAGCAGGGCTGGATCCTGCTGGATCTTGGAGCAGAGGACAGTGGTGAACTGAACCTCTTCCTTTTCTGTGAGGGATCCAGGGATTGTCCCGCCGAGCCGGAGGAGTTTCTAAAAGGGAAGAAACAGAAAGGAATCCGCTGGCAGGGAAGAGGTGGCCATCTGCCCCCCACCCTCACCCTTGGGCACTCCTGGTCTCTTGGCCCCTCACCTGTACAGGCCTGTGGACGTTGAGGTAATGAAGGAGAGGGTGCTGCACCTGGGCCAGAACTTTACTGAAGAACTGGAACACCTGCTGCCGCATGCCTGGGGGATACTGAGGGCCAGGGAACAGAGTGCCTTGTCAGGAGAGGGCAGCCAGGTCCACGTGGCTGGCTGTTTCCTGCCTGGAACACAGTTCTTACCCCAGAGCCACTCGGCCCATTACCTACCTTTAGTTCTGCTCCAAGGCAGCCTTTCCCACTAGGCCTTCTTCCCTATATTTGAAACTGATCCCGCCTGTACATCTCTCCCTCCTCTGTTGAATTCTCCTATAATCTATCATTACAGATCATCTCTAAGTGAGTTCACCAGATTCTGCCTTTCCCCCTAGGAGATAAGCTCTGTGGGAGCAGGAATTTTTGTCTGTTTCAATCGCGCTGTATCCCCAGCATCTAAAAACAGCACCTGGCACACGGCTGGTGCTCAATACAGCTTTGTTGAATAAATGCTGACAGTGAGAAGACGCCCAAGTAAATAAACAAGGGCCCAAGCCCCTGGGGCTGGTGGAATGTTCTGAGATAGCCACAGTTCCCAGCCCCTGTGTTGTTCCCCACCCTCAGGCTGGGAATGGGAGGAGCCCAGGTAAAGAGAGATGAGAATCCAGCCTACTGCCAGCAGTCCCCAAGTGCCTGGACACCGCAGGTTCTACCCACCTCAGCCTTGCCCAGTGTACACAGGGTCTCAAGGACCTTGTGCTGCAGCAGGTACTCCAGACAGGGCCCCGCCTCGCCAGCAGCTGCCTGCTGCTTCTCCTCATACACCAGGATGTCCAGCATCTGCTTCAGCCGCCAAGGAATGTCTGTTTTCTTGGCTGGAGTGTTTTCATCTAAACCAAGAATGAGGAAACAGGAATGAATAGGGTGAATAGGGACCCTCCTCCCCACAAGATCTGCACTTTTGCCAACACAGAGTAGAGAAACTGTGTCTGGGAGAGGGGGTCAAGCCGCATGGGTCCAGAGGGCTGTGTGCAACCAGGGGTAGACCTGTATTTTGAGGAAGCAAAGTTGGCTCAAACAAAGACCAAAGGAAATGGAAGTTTACAGTTAATGTGCCTGCATTTAAAAAGACAAATGACTTTTTAGATGTGGCCAGGATACAGCCCTTAAACTGAGAATGTGTGCATGCTCCAAGCGCATGACTGGCAGCATCATTTTTCTCTTAACTGCTGGGACAGAACACTCCGTGATCTTACAGAAGAAGATGTTCTAGGACTGCCTGACAGCTTTGGACCTGAGTTAGAAGCCAGGGACTCAGGAACTCTGTCACCAAATTTAGAAGCTATATTCTAGCACCTTCCTGAGAGATAACCTCTTGGGACCTGTTTATATCCCTTTTATACTCAGAGAAACTAATACTCTAGCTTTTACAGAGCAGAAGAAGAATGTGTGTACTACCATTCATTCTGCCTAGAACAGACTAGGAGTCTCAGGGAATAGAATTTTTTTTAAGGGGAAAAAAAAAGTTTTGATACTTTAGGACTGGCCTTGCAGCACCCCCTAGCTTCTCTTTAAGGCATAGGATCTTGAGCAAGGCAGCCCACTTCTCTGCCTCCCAAATCCTCTGCTCTAAAGACCATTCTGTCTTGTCCAGAGATCTTCAGAGTTCCTCAGTCCACACAGTGGTTTTCAAAAGGAGGCATTTTTCCCCCTTGGAGAACATCAGTCAATGTCTGGAGACACTTTTGGCTGTCACATCTGAGGGTGGTACTACTGGCATCCAGGGTAGAGGTGAGAAATAATGATGCATCCTACAGTGCACATCTCTAAGTACTGTACCTGAGGCTTGAATTTGTTCTTCAGTTCTCTCAGCTTGAGAAATGCAGAGCAAGTTCTTCCCTTCTTATTTCCCAATTCCAGGTCTTTGCATATTCCATTATAATACTTTGCTTTGTCTTCTCATGCTCCTTTTTGAAATCTTCTGTTCAGCTTTTACTTCACCATCTCTTCCCTTTGTTTTGGTTTCTTGTTACTCTCATGGAATTTCCAGGGTCTCTTCTGACATCCATTTTGGTTTTTAATCTCTCTTTTGTCTTTGTATTGACCTTTTGCTCTCTTCATGGATTATATCCTTGATATCAACTGGTCTTTGATCACTGGTGTTCAAAGGCTTTAAACCTATTCTTATGATGATTATTTTAAATTCAGGTGGGAGAGACTCAAGATAATATTTTGGGGGGTTTTTGGTTTGGGTTCTTTTTGTGAGAAAAATTTATATTTAGAGTTAGCCCGCTGGACTCAGTTTAGATGATCCCAATTTTGTTGGCAACATCCAAAGCATTATAATCAGGAGCAAGTTGAACATAGGCCTTCTTCTCTCCATCAGGCCTAATCAAAGTGTTGACCTTGGCCACATCAATGTCATAGAGCTTCTTTACAGCTTGTTTAATTTGGTGCTTGTTGGCCTTGACATCCACATTGAACACAAGTGTGTTGTTATCTTCTATCTTCTTCATAGCTGACTCAGTGGTCAGGGGAAATTTGATGATGGCATAGTGGTCAAGCTTGTTTCTCCTGGGGGCGCTCTTCCGGGGGTATTTGGACTGCCTTCAGAGCTCAGCGTCTTAGGCCGCCAGAAGGTGGGTGACGTGTGGATCTTCTTTTTTTTTTTTGGGTGTGGACACCCTTTAGGACTGCCTTCTTGGCCTTTAATGCCTTTGTTTTGGCTTCAGTTTTGGGAGGGGCAGGGGCTTCCTTCTTCACTTTTGGCACCATCTTTGTAGAAAGGCGATAATATTTTGCTTTTTATGGACTTTTCATTTTCTTCAGTCTCAATTTGAACTTGTGCATAAGTAATTGATGGTCTATTCCAGAGTCAGTTCCTGGCCTGGTTTTGACTGATGATATTGAGTTTCTCCAATGATTCCTTCCACAGACGTAGTCAATCTGATTCCTCATCTGATGAGGTCCATGTGTGGTCGCCATCGTTTGTTTTTTTCCCCCAAAAGTATTACAGTGAATAAATCATTGAATGTACAAAATGTGATCATTCTATTTCTTGGCCTCATTTTTGTCACCAAATCCATACTTTCAGACTACTATATCTTCTTCATGGTTTCCAACTTTTGCGTTATAGTCACCAATTAACACATCTTGATTGCATGTTTGGTCAATTTCAGACAGCAAAATTTGATAAATATCTTCAATTTTCTCCTCTTTGGCTTTGGATTTTGGTGCCTGTATTTGAATAATAGTTGTATTAACAAGTCTTTCTTGTATGTAGTTTGATATCCTATCACTCAAAATATTGCACTTTAGGATAGAACCTGAAATTGTCTTTTTAACTATGACTGCAACACCATTCTTTTGTTTTTCATTCCTGGCATACTATACCATGTGATTAACTCAAAGTGGCCAAAGGCAGTCTATCACATGTTACCAATGCCTAGAATGTCGATGTTAATGTGTTCCATTTCATTTTTCACTTCTAGTTTTCCAACATTCATCTTTCATACATTCCACGTTCCAGGTATTAAAGGATGTTTGCAGCTGTTTCTCCTCATTTTGACTGACTTCCCAATCTGGCTCTACCTCTAAAATTATAGCTATCCATGTCCCTCTCTTGTTCATGGGGCTTTTAGAGGCCTGTTATTTAAGAAATGGACTGCCAATACTGCTTCTCAGTCTGTCTTAATCTGGGAGCTCTACTAAAACCTGTCTATCATGGGTGACTCTTCTGGCATTTGATACACTAGAGGCATACTTTTCAGCATTATAGCAACCCACAAGTACCTCAGTACAGCAAACTGACTACAAGTGCTGTACCATTAAGAATAGAAATAAAAAGTTCAAGCCCTGAGTTGCAGTACTTACAGATACTTTGTGTAAAATCTTGAATGACCCATGAAGCATCAACAGAAGATTGAGGAATAAACAGAATCGCTGTACCAAAAAGACTTGGTCAACACTGAAATGTCATTAACTACTATATGATCAAGAACCAATGGTAATGAAAGACAGTATAGCTGCACTAAGGCACTGGCAAAAAATAAGGCCCTAGGAATCAATGGAATACCAAGTGACATGTTTCAGTTAACTGATGTAGCCCTGGACGTGCTCACCAGTCTATGCCAGGAATCTGGAAGATAGCTGCCTGGCTGACTGGTAGAGACACATATTTTTTCCCATAGAGTGGGGAAATTATCGAACAATATCTTTAACATCAAATGCAAACAAAATACTACTAGAGATCATGCAAAGGCATCTACATAGACAGGGAACTTCCCAAAGTTCAAGATGGATTCAGAGAAGTTGTGGCACCAAGGATATCACTGCTGATGTCAGATGCATCCTGGCTGAAAGCAAAGAATACCAGAAGAATGCCTATTTGTGCTTTATTGACTATGCAAAGGCACTTGACTATTTGGATCATAACAAAGTATGGCTAACATTATGAAGAATGGGAATCCCAGAACACTTAATTGTGTGCTCATGTAAAACCTAGATCTAGACCAAGATGCTGTTGTGTGAACAGAGCAAGGGAACACTGTATGGTTTAAAATTAAGAAAGGTATGTGTCAGGGTTGTATTCTCTCTCTCCATACCTACTTAATCTGTATGCTGAGTAATTAGAGAAGTTGGACTCTATGAAGAAGAATGTGGCACCAGGATCAGAGGAACACTCATCAATAACCTACATTAAACAGATGACACACCCTTACTTGCTAAAACTGAGGAGGACTTGAAGTGCCTGCTGCAGAAGACAAAATAATATAGCCTTCTATGTGGATTGCGTCTCAATGTCAAGAAAACAAAAATTTTCACCACGGTACCTATAGGCAGCATCATGATAGATGGACAAAAGATTAAAACTGTCAACAACTTCATCTTGGATCCACAACCAACACCACTGGTACCAACAGTCAGGAGATAAGGAGACATATTGTACCAGGAAAATCTGTAGTCAGGGACTTCTCCAAATTACTGAGAAACTGATGTCAGTTTGAGGACTACAGTGTGCCTGATTCAGGCCATGGTCTTTTCAATCACTTGCTATGCATTTGAGCTGGAAAATTATTAAGGATGACAGAAGAACTGATGCCTTTGAGATGGATGATGGTGGTCATGGATAAGAGTTCTGAATATCCCATAGACTGCCAAAAGAACAAACAGATACATCTTGGAAAAGATGCAGCCAGAGTGCTCCTTGGAGGCAAAGGGGATAAAGCTTCATCTTACATACTTTGGGCATGTTAGTAGGAGAACCTATTCCTTGGAAAATGACATCATAGTTAGAAAGTTGGATGGTTGGTGAAAGATAGGAAGACCCTTCACCAGATGGATTGACACAGTGACTGCAGCAATTGGCTTGAGTATGTCAGAGATTGTCAGAGTGGCATAGGATAGGACAGGCCTCAAATCTGTTCATCAGGTCACTATGAGTCATACTCAACTTGATGGTACACAACAACAACAGACTGCAATAGGCAGTTCTCGTAACAAAGATACGCAAGCTAAAATTTTGACAGTTCTGAGAAGCCATGGTCTATGGGAACTCTTGAGGGTCTCTCACAGAGCCCAAAGATCACCTTTTAATATCTTGTGCTGGCTCGGACTGAAAATAAAGCCTTTAGAAAAGGTGCAAGCAGGAACCAAACCTCAATCTGAACTCTAGGCAAGGCAAAGCCAAGTATACAGGATGAGATTAACTGGCAACCAGTATATATCTACCAATACTAGCACACTGATTTCAAAGCAGCCAATCAGAATGCCTGTGCAGTGTGTGACCCTGTTGTTGTTATGTGCCGTTGAGTCACTTGCAACTCATAGCGACCCTATGTACAACAGCTCTAAACTCTGCTCTGTCCTGTGCCAATCTCATTGCCTCTGACACACTCATCCTGATTGCCCCAGTCACCGAATCAATCCACCTCCCAGAGGGCCTTCCGCTCCTGCGCCTGTCCTCCACCCTCCCAAGCATGATGTCCCTCTCCAAGGACCGGTCTCTTCTTACAACATGACCAAAGTATGTCAGACGAAGCCTCAGAATCCTTGCCTCCAAGGAGCAGTCTGGTTTAACCCTCTCCTGGATGAATCTGTTTGTTCTCTTAGCAGTCCATGGCACCTTCAGTACTCTTCTCCAACACCAAAGCTCAAAAGTATCTGTTCTCCTTCTATCCTCCAGCTATTTGATGCATAACAAGTGATTGCAAAGACCATGGCCTATATCAGACGCACCTTTGTCTCCAGAGATGCACCGTTGCTCTTGAGTATTTTAAAGAGGTCCCTAACAGCAGACTTTCCCATGGCAATACATCTTTTAATTTCCTGGCTGCTGGTGCCAAGTGTGTTGATTATGGAGCCAAGCCGACTAAAAGCTGTGAACAATCTCAATCTCTTCGCCATCCATCCTGATGCTACCAATTGGTCCAGTGGAGAGAATCTTTGTCTTCTTGACATTGAGCCTCAATCCATATTGAAGGCTGCAGTCCCTGACCCTCAGCAGCAAGCACTTCAGGTCCTCCTCAGTTTCAGCAAGCAGGGTTGTGTCATCTGCATAACACAGATTGTTTATGGATCTTCCACCAACCCTGATGCCACATTTCTCCTCATAGAGTCCAGCCTCCCAGATGATCTGTTCTGCATATAGGTTGAAACGGTATGGAAACAGGAACCATGCAGTATTTCCTTGCTCTGTTCTGACAACTGCCTCTTGGTTCAAGTATAAATTTCACATTAGAATGATCACGTGTTCTGGGATTCCCATTGTTCTCAGAGTCAGTCACAGTTTGTTATGATCCACACAGTCAAACGCCTTTGCAAAATCAATGAAGCACAGATAGGCATTCCTCTGGTATTCCCTGCTTTCTGCCAAGATCCATCTAACATTAGCTACAATATCCCTAGTACCACGACCCCTTCTAAACCCAGCCTGGACTTCTGGCAGTTCTCTGCTGATGTGCTGTTCCAGTCGTTTTTGAATAATTTTCAGCAGAATCTTGCTTGCATGTGAAATCAATGATATTGTTCTGTAGTTTCCACACTCTGTTGGGTCACCTTTCTTTGGAATAGGAACAAATATAGATCTCTTCCAGTCAGTTGGCCAAGTGATTGTTCTCCAGAGTTGTGGGAGAATATTAAGGGTATCATCCAAGAAGAGTGTAAACGTTCATTACAAAGACAAGAGGAAGAAAAGACCAAAATGGATGTCAGAAGAAACTCTGAAGATTGCACTGGAGCGCAGAGAAGCGAAAGCACAAGGAAGAATTCAAGATACTAAAGAGCTGAACAGAAGATTTCAAAAGGCAGCTCGGAATGACAAAGCAAAATATTACAATGAAATGTGCAAGGAGTTGGAGTCAGAAAACCAAAAGGGTCAAACTTTCTCAGCATTTCTTAAGCTCAAGGAACTGAAGAACAAATTCAAACCTCGAGTTGCTATAATCAAGGATGCTTTGGGCAGAATATGAAATGATCCAGGAGGTATCAAAAGAAGATGGAAAGAATATACTGAGTCATTGTATCGAAAGGAATTGGCAGACACAGGATTTCATGAAACAAAATATGAGCAAGAGCCTATGGTGATGAAGGAAGAAATTCAAGCTGCTTTGAAAGAAACAGCAAAAAATAAGGCCCCAGGAATAGATGGTATATCAACTGTGTGACCCTAATGAGCCCTAATGACCCAAGACTTGGCTTTCTGGGGAGTCAGCTTGAGAAGACCGACATGATATAATGCCTTGGGTTTTAGTCCCCTCTTCCCTCAAATCTTGACTCTGGAAATGTCCTCTAAGTTAGCGAAGTGGAAAGGGAACATCTGATACCTTTCTTTTTCAGTAATGCTTAATTCTTAAGTAATTCTTAATCAGTAATGCTGGCACAAGCACTGGGGGACTGAAGGTGTGGGCCCTCTACTTGTGGGGGCTGGAGGCAATGAGCTCAACCCCTTGGGCTCCTGTGCAGACAACGCAATGTAACAGTCAGCCTCCTGGCCACCACTTCACTCCACACAGCTCCTCTCCAGGAAGGCCAGATGGGACCAGAGGGGCTAGCAACTAAACAGATGGGAAGAGGTGGCCAAATCACTGCCTTGTTTGATTCACATCTTTTCCCTGTCTTCATGAGCTCAACCTCAATGTTGAAAACTCCTCAGCAGTGGCATTTCTGAGCTGGGCAGGGAACTCTGTCTATAGCTCCTTCCCTACTCCCTTCAGAGCCCTCCTGGAGGGAGGTCAAGGCTTACCTGTGTTTTCAATGTAGTAGTGAGTGATGCCCTTCCAATGCTCTACAAAGGCCTCCAGCAGGTCAATGTTGGGCTCCCACTGCGGAGAGAGAGCAGAGACAGCTTATGCAATGGCCGCAGTGACTTGGGTCTGCTGCCACTGAGCTTTCACTCACAGATATCCAGGCTCACAGATCTGCTCCGAGAAGGCACTCCACTCCAGGGTGTTCAAAGGGCAGAGGAACATTTACTACAGGGCACATACAAATTATTTCTCCATCTTGATAGCAATCTGGTGCCTCTCCCCTAAAGCCTTCTCCCACTTGAAAATGCTGTATGTGCCAGGATTCAATATCCCTGTCCTGGTTGTTGTTGTTTTCGGGTGCTATCAAGTCAGCCCTAACTAATGGTGACCCCATGTGCAATGGAATCAAACAGCTGGTCTTGTGCCAGGCCCATGATCACTGTGATTCACTGGCTGATTTTGGGGAGTGCATATTCACTGCTCTCTTCCTGTTCTTTCTGTGAAGCATCATAACAAATACAGCCCTCCCCTGACAGATGGGGGTGGGTGCACATAAAGTGCACTGAGCAGGAAATGAACCTGGGCCTGTCACATGAAAGGTAAGAATTCTACCACTGAACCTCCACAGCCTCCTCTGTCCTAGAGGAGCTAAGAATTCTGGTGAAGGAACCTGACATGGAAACAATTTCAGTACAACACAGTTATACTGCGGTTATTGCTAGTTGTCATGAAGCTGATGGAGTGATGGTCATTTTATGTACACAGAAATGATCTACAGAGTTTTCAAGATTTTAAGCCTTTAGGAAGCAGATCAGCAGGCCTGTCTTCAGAGGTGCCTCTGGGTTTAAACTACCAACATTTTATTTAGCCGCTTTAATACTTATCCATTTGTGTCACCCAGGCACTCTATGAGATACATAAAGCCAAAGAAGAGAGACTCAGAAAACAGTAACAAAAGCGTATATATAGAAAGAACTGTAAAGACAAAGCTTTCAAAGTCCTTCTCAATCTGACAAACTAGAAACATCTGTTTTTAAGGCCATGCCAAGCTTCGTTCAGCCACACAGCTAGTGTTAGATTAAGAGGAATTACTTACAACGTGCCTCTATCTTTAGTCAAAAACTGAGGCCATGAGTCCCTGCTCCTGCTCAGCTAGCTCTGGTCCTTACAGCTCACTCCTCCACCAGCTCAGTGTATGGGCCTGGAAAATCCTGATTCTGCTATGACAGACCCATTGGCCTCTACCTTTCCACAACTGCTTGTAACATTGCCACATTCTGGCTGGAACTGGCCTTGAGTTGATAACCACTTTTCTTGGAAACATCTCCATACAAGGGCATTTCTCCTCTTTGTAAATAAATGTTTGCAGGGTGGGGGTGGGGGTAACAATCAAATATTGCATGCCCACATATGTTCATTTCCACTTCCTTGCTTCCTAAGCTCCTCTGTCCCTGTCTCAAATCTCAAGTTCCCAGTGAGGTCCAGCTAAAGACTTCCAGCTCCATTCAACCCTCCCCAGGGTTAACACTGCTCTCTACCCTCGTACTTTACAGCATGACAGAATGGAGTATTTAATGAACTCATTCCCTTCATTAAGTTCTTTTGAGCCTATTATGTGCGAAGGGAGCTCTGGTGGCTTAATGGTACCTAGCTGCGCTGCCAACCTCAAGGCACATGGTTCGAATCCACCAGATGCTCTCTGAGAACAGGATGGGCAATCTCCTCCCTTGTGATTTACTGCCTCTGAAAACCTGCTAGAGGGTCAGTTATAACACCTCAGTTCCAACTCATTGGTACGTAACAACTATATGCAAGGCACTGCTAGTCACCATAAACAACACAATGACTAAGACCTAGCATGTAAGAAATGCATAAAGAAGAGACCAAAATCTTTTTCAACTACAAGATGGTATTGTGATGCTACATGAAAAAGTAGAACGTGACCTCTGGAGTAAAGGGGTTACCTCTTAACAAGTTGAACAGAAGTCCAACTGAGGAAGTGGCACTTGAACTGACCTCTGAAGACCTGGCTTGATTTCAATAATTACAAATGAAAGACAGACATCTGCTACAAAGAAACCCCAAAAGTGTGTTTGAGGAAAGCCTGGATTGACAAGGATGTGGGCTGTGAATGCAAGCCCAAGAAGTCCGTTTGGTTTGCAGGCAAGCCAGTGACACCTGAACAGTGTTTTGGGGAGATGTGCCTGGCAGTATTGTATGTAGGACAGTACACAGAAGTAGGAAGAATGCTTAGAGGGCTGTCACAAGGCAGGAGTAAACAACAGTGAATCGGAGACCTTGAAACACTCTCAGGCTTCCCAAAGTAAGATTGTAAGGGATCTGACCTTTAGGGAAGTGGCACATCCCATTCATGACACACATACCACCCGTATGGAGTGGCTGCATTGCATCACGTTATTCTACATGATAAAATTGTTTAATTAAGCATTCATCTCTTGTACTAGACTGTGAGCTCCCTGTGGGCAGGGTTTCTGTGTTCTATACCTCCAACTAAAGCACTCTGCACATAGGAAATGTTGTTGTTGTTGTTATGTGCCGTCAAGTCGCTTGCGACTCATAGCGACCCTATGTACAGCCTCCCTAAATTCCGCTCTGTCCTGTGCCAATCGCACTGCCTGACACACCCATACCAATTACCCCAGTCACTGAATCAATCCACCTCATAGAGGGCCTTCCCCTCCTGCACCGTCCTTCCACCCTCCCAAGCATGATGTCCCTCTCCAAGGACCTGTCCCTCCTTATAACATGTCCAAAGTATGTTAGACGGAGCCTCAGAATCCTTGCCTCCAGGGAGCAGCCTGGTTTAACCCTCTCCAGGATGAATGTGTTTGTTTTCCTAACAGTTCATGGTACCCTCAATACTCTTCTCCAACACCAAAGCTCAAAGGCATCAATTCTCCTTCTATCCTCCCTGGTCACTGTTCAACTCTCTGATGCATAAAAAGTTAATAGCAAAGACCATGGCCTGTATCAGATGCACCTTAGTCTCCAGAGAGACACCATTGCTCTTCAGTACTTTGGAGAGGTCCCTAACAGCAGACTTTCCCATCGCAATATGTCTTTTAATTTCCTGGCTACTGGTGCCAAGAGTGTTGATTGTGGAGCCAAGGAAACTAAAGCTGTGAACAATTTCAATTTTTTCACCATCCATCCTGATGCTGTCAATTGGTCCAGTGGTGAGAATCTTTGTCTTCTTGACATTGAGCCTCAATCCATATTGTAGGCTGCAGTCCTTGACCTTCTGCAGCAAGCACTTCAGGTCCTCCTCAGTTTCAGCAAGCAGGGTTATATCATCCGCATAACGCAGATTGTTGATGAATCTTCCACCAATCCTGACACCACACTTCTCCTCATAGAGCCCAGACTCCCGGATGATCTGTTCTGCATACAGGTTGAAAAGGTATGGAGACAGGATACATCCCTGGAGTACGCCCTTCCCAATTTTGAACCATGCACTGTTCCCTTGCTCTGTTCTGACAACTGTCTCTTGGTCCAAGTATAGGTTTCGCATTAGCACAATCAAGTGTTCTGGGATTCCCATTCTTCTCAGAGTCAGCCACACAGTTTCATTAATATTTACTCAGTGTTTCACCAAATTCTTCAAGACATTCTTTTCACATTTCCTTATCTTTTGGAAAACCTTGACCAGCACTATAATTATCTCACAATTTTTGGGATGAGATCTCATCCACCTTTCATATTCAATGGTAAGAAGCTTCAACACAATCCAAAAGACACAGTCTGAATCCACCAGCTGTTCTGCAGAAGGATGGGTGATCTCCTGTGTGATTTACTGCCTCTGAAAACCCATGGGAGGGTCAGCCATGTGTCAGTTCTGACTCCTCGGCACACAACATAATTAAAATGTCAACAATTTCAACTTACTTGGATTCACAATCAACACCCTCAGCATGAGTAGTCAAGAAATTAAAAGAAATATTGCACTGGGAAGGTCTGCTGTCAGAGAACTCTCCAAAGTACTGAGGAGCAATGATGTCTGTTTAAGGACTAGGGTGCACCTGATTCAGGCCATGGTCTTTTAAATTATGTTAGGCATTTTAGAGCTGAACTATGACTAAAGGTAACAGAAAAATTGATGCCTTTGAGTTGTGATGTTAGAGAAGAGTGTTGAATATCCCATGGACTCTACAAGAATAAAAAGATATGTCTTAGAGTACAGCCAGAGTGCTCCTTAGAGGTAAGGATGGTGTGAAGCTTTGCCTCACATACTTTGGGCATATTGTTAGGAGAGGCTTTTCCTTGGACACGGATATCATGCTTGGAAAAATGGAGAGACAGTGAACAAGAGAAAAACCTTCAATGAGATGGATTGATACAGTGACTGGAGCAACAGGCTCAAGTATGTCAGAGATGATGAGAATGGCACAGGTTAGAGCAGGGTTCAGATCTGTTATTCCTCAGATCGCTATGAGTTGTACTTGACTCAATGGCACATAACAACAAAGCCTTCAGCGGGGCTTAAATCAGAGAGAATAACTCAGTAAAAATTCATATACTAAGTAAATTATTCAAGAAAATTGGACTATATGAAGAACATGGAATCGGTTTTGGAGGAAGACTCATGAACAACTTGCATTATGCAGCTAGAACAGTCTTGTTTGCAGAAAATGAAAAAGTTCTGAAGCACTTACTGAAGAAAAGCAAAAACACAGCCTTCAGTATGGATTACATCTCAAATAAAGAAATAAACAAAAATCCTCATCACTGGACTAAGAAAAAAAGAATGAAATCAATTATTTATTTGGATCCATAATTAACACCTATGGTAGCAGCAGCCAAGAAATCAAAAGAAGTGTTGCATTGGGCACATCTCTGCTGTAAAGGACCCTTCTAAAGTGCTAAAGTGCAATAATGTGTTTCAAGACTAAGGTGTACCTGATCCAAGTCATGGTGGTTTTAGTCGCTTTCTACATACATGACATTTGGGCAATGAGTAAGGAAGATGGAAGAACTGATGCTCTTGAACTGGCAAAAGGTATAGTATTGATTGCCAGAAGAACAAACAAATCAGTCTTGGAGGAATGCAACTGGGTGCTCCTTAGAGGCAAGTAAGGTGCAGTGTTATTTCACATCTTTGAGCATGTTGTCAGGTGCCACTCCTTGGAAAAAGACATCAAGTTTAGAAGAGTAGTTGTTGTTGTGTACCACTGAGTCAGAACTGACCCACACCTGACCCTCCTGTGGGTTTTCAGAGGCAGTAAATCACGGGAGGAGACTGCCCACCCTTCTCCCCAGGAACAAGCAGCTGGTGAATTCTAACCATGTGCTCTGGGGATTGCAGTGCAGCTTCTTCCCACTAAGGCACCAGAGCTTTCTATGGAGAATAGGTCAGCAAAAGAGCAGAATATCCCCAAGGAGACAGACTGACATGGTCATTGTAAAAGTAGGCTTTGGCATGATGAGTGTTGAGGTTAGCGCAGGACAGGGCATGGTTTTGAACTGTTGTTCATAGGATCGTTATGAGCAGGAGTGAACCTGATATCTAAAAATATTACTCAGTATTTTAACTCCACACCTAAGAAATGGTTATTTCTTTAAAGATGTTGTTGTTGTGTGCTATCAAGTTGGAACCAACTCATAGCTGACCCTCCAGGGAATTTTCAGGGACAGTTTAATCACACGGGAGATTGCTCATCCCTCTCCTTCAGAACAGGTGGTAGATTTGAACTATGTACCTTTGGGATTGTAGCATAGCTTCCCACTACACCAGGGGCTGGCAAGTCAGTTAACCACCTTAAGTACAAGAGAAAGTAACACTGCCTGGCCCTGTGCCATCCTCATAATCACTCCTCTACTGGAGTCCACTGCTGCAGCCACTGAGTCAATCCATTTCCTGTGGGCTTTCTACTCTTCTGCTAACCCTCTACTTATCCAAGCATGGTAGGCTTCCCCAGGGACTGGCCCCTTCTGATAACATGTCCAAAGTATGTGAGTTGAATTTTCACCATTGTTGCTCCTAGGGTGTATTCTGACTGCTTTATCTCTTCAAAGATGGTGTTCTTTTTGAAAATGATAGTATTTTTTTAAAAGAGCCACAATGCTATTCTGTTTGGTCAAAAGAAGGCAGGAAGGAGCACTTCTCCTTGGTAAAGAGTTAATTCACTTGTGTCATACATTAACCTGGCACCCAAGGGAGCTCTGTTGGCCTTGAGGGTAAGGACTTACACTGCCAACTTCAAGGCAAGTGGTTAGAACCCGTAAGCTGCTCTAGAGCAGGAAGAACATGGACAGTCTTCTCCTGTGCCACTTAAGCCTCTGAAAACCCACTGGGAGATTCTTTTGGACCTGCTGGTGGGTCAGCTATGAGTCAGTTCTGACTGGACAGCAAATAGAAAGAGACAACTTACGGGAAACTAAGACATGAGAAGTGGGCAGAGAAAAGGAAAAGGGTGGTTCCCATCTCTAATCACGCAGGGCCAAACTTCCAAGGTATCCTCTATAGAAGAGAGGCCTGAAAATATCTCCCTAGACAAACCACTGATGCTTGTACTTTCTGCCCAATTTTACAAATTGACTTCTTAGGGTCAGTTCCACCCTAGTATAAAGAGTATATAGGGTTCTGAACAGGTACCTAACAAAAACAAGTACAAGGAGCTTTTCCAGATGGGATGCTCCCAAAGCCACCTTAAAAAAAAATAAAATAAAATAACAGAGGAGGGCTGGCTGTAGGCTGAAAAAAGCTGGAAGTTTTTCTCCACAGTTCCGCCCAGGGTTGAGTCTGTTAGTCATAAGGACCTCTGTGAATAAAATTTGATAAACTGATCAACTGGAGAATTACTATTTACACTGAAACAAACTGATGCCGGCTTTAACGATAGTTTCTTGGCTGGCCTACCATAATAAAATAGAGAGTAAGCCCCGAGCCTACCTAAACCACTTTCTTTTATAAGTGCCTCTCTACAGCGGACCCTGCTTAACATGAAGTGATGGGTGGTCTCTGACCAGTCCTTCAGCCCCAATAGGAAACAGCAAAAGAACGCAAACTCTGATAGAACATGAAAAATCAATATAATGATCCTCACACGGCTGTCCTGGCCTCATCATGAGGTTGGGTTGATTTCTGAAACTCAAATTGAATCTTACTCATCAATCGTATTCTGGAAAATGCGTGTTTTACACCGCAGAACACAGTTTCCAGGGCTGGGCCCCTGCTGAGAGGACTGTATCCTAGGGACCTAGTCGGGCAGGCGTGGGCACTTCTCGAGCTGAGGGTGAGAGGGCGGGCAGAGAAAGGGTCACGACCAGGCGGGCCCATTCCGGGAGCTGTTTAATTCGGTCGAGAGAAGAGGCTGGCTGGGCCTAGGTGAACAGGAAGGGAGGAGAGAGGCGAAGAGAGGCTGCGAAGGCGGGGTGTCCTGGTGGGGGTGGGAAAGAACTATGTGATGACAAGGGTCCGTTCTGGCAGACAGGAGTTTGGTAACTGGGTGACTAAGGAACAGCAAAAATAAACAGGGAGTAATTTGGAGCGAGAGATTAGGGAACTAGAAGGGAGTTGGAGAGGATCGGGGAGTAAGGTAGACCTGAGCAAGTATCTGGAAGGAATCAGGGTGCGAAGGTCGTTGGAGAGTAGGTCCGGCCAGGGGCACAGAGGCCTAGATGGGACCCCTTCCCCAGGC